CTTGCGGAGGGCGCCAGCCAGCAGGCGCTGAGTGCCCAAGAGGTACAGAGAAGGCAGAGTTAGCCCGGTGACGCATAGCCAGTGAGGTGGGTCTGGGCAAGCTGAGCAACAGGGGACTTGGCCTTTGATAAGACCCTGCATGGACTCAAGCACTTAAAGTAACAGAACAGTGGGACCTGGGCCAGCACTGTGGCGCAGCAGGTTAACGCCCTGGCCTGAAGTGCCGGCATCCCATATGGGCACTGGTTCTAGTCCCGGCTGCTCCTCTTCCAATCCAGCTCTCTACTGTGGCCTGGGAAAGCAGTGGAAGATAGCCCAAGTCCTTGGGCCCCTGCATGGGAGACCCGGAAGAACAGTGGGGCCCAGCCAGGTGTCTGAACCCACCCCTAGCTGCCTTTGATGCAGCTGGCTCTGGGGGAATGGGCAGTAATCTAGTCCAGTCCCTCTTTGTACAGGTGAGGTAGTGACACGTCCACAAGCCCGAAGCTCGCCTACCAAGCAGGCTTCTTGACACTCAACCCAGAGTTTGCCTTCGGAGTCCCAGGCTGCACAGACACTCTTGGCTTAGCCTGGCTGGGCTCAATCCCCACCAGAATGAGATCAGAAAAGACCAAAGAGCCATTGTCAGTGTCTCAGGTGCACCACCTGCTCTCCACAGGGCCAGAAACATTGGCGCCTACAATCCTGATATAGTAACTGAATTGCCAAGTGCACCATTAACCGTCGGTTCTTGGCCTGGCATTGTGCTGGAAAGAGATGGGAGTGACAGGAGCTGCAGACAGAGTGGGGGAAGCATAGCAGTTTAGGGTTTAGCTTGTGGCTGGGCTTTTTTTTTTTTTTTTTTTTTAATAGGCAAAACGAACTCACTGGGGAATAACAGGAGGCAACTTATCCCTCTGTGTGGAGTGGGTGTTATCGAGTACTTTAGCCATAGGCCTTTAGGACTTTGGATGATGATGGTGGTGACACGGAGACCGTTCTGTCTCTTTCAGGGATTCGAGAGAGTCAGGCAGAAATACGCTGAGCTGAAGGACCGGCTGGGGCAGGCTTCCTTGCTGGGCGAGCAGGGCAACCGGATCCTGAGCGTCAAGACAGAGGCAGAGGAGCTGTTTGGGGAGACCATGGAGATGATGGACAAGATGCGAGGTGAGGGCATAGTTTGGGGTGTGCACTGCTGGGCATCCCTGAAGCTTGGTGCCCACCTGGGCTTCTGAGGCCCCCTGTTGAGGGAACCTGTGGTGCTACAGGAGTGAGATCAATGGGATTTCCTGAACACCCAGGACTCGGGAAGGGGCACTGGGGATGCAAAGATGTTCAAAAGACTTGGTCTGCCTTGGGGAGCCTGCAGTCCAGCGAGACCCTTGTGCCCTTCTGCAGAGCCGAGGGGGGTCTTTGGAGGGGTCCTGGGTTCCCATAGGAAAAGGAAGCAAGGATTTACAGGGAGTGGAGTCCAGCCCTGTGATGTGGCGAGCAGGGCACTGGGCTGGGTACCACAGTCAGAGTTTCTCTGAATTTCAGCCAAAGTGATTGGAGAAAACCTCTTTGGGCCTCCAGAGGCGGCCAGGTGTCTAGGTTGATGACGAACAGATGTGAAGCTGCGGCCACCTACACCTGGTGGGCTGGGCCAGAGGGGTGGACCTGCAGGAAGGAGTCAGTGGCTGGGTCGGCGTTGCCCATTAATGGGTGGAGAGAAGAAACTTGCTTATCAGGTTTGCGGACGACAGATGGTTAGTGTACTGGCTAACGGAACCACTCTGCTAAGTCTGGAAGGATGGGCTGAAGCTAACAGGGTGACATTAGAGACGGAGCAAAGCTAACCTCCCACTCTGCCCTGTTTGGGACTGACTATACCTCTAGGACAGCTCAGGTGAGGTGTGGCTTCTGAGTAGCTAATGGCACTGAAAACGCTAACTGGGAAGTGACAAGCAAATACCAGCTGTTCCTCCCCTGTAAAAGGCCCAAGAGGTTTGAGAAACTGTACGCGTGTTTGGAGCCAGCAGTGTCTTGTCACTGCCACAAGAGCTATTGCACACAGGGTAGCTAAAGTAAGGGGTGCCGTTAAAACTCGGGCCACTGCTGTGGCTCACGCCCACCAACTGGGACAAGCCCGGGTTGTAGGCAGGGTTACCTTCTGTAGCAGGACACTGGGGAGGAGGCTCTGCATTTGGGGGCTGGGAACAGAACAGCAGCCGTTTCACAACCCCTGTGGACCTGAGTGTTTTATCAGCCCGTGGGTCCGCTGCCCACTGGCTGAACGGCAGCTTAGTAATAACACCGCTACAGAATCATCCCAGGGGGATGGTGTTCCTACGCTGGCAACTACATCTTCAGAAGGGAAAGTGACCATGCTGTACCGTCACGGGGAGGGGCACTGGGAGAGAAGGGGAGAGACCCAGGAATTATGTCAGACGAGGACTAGATGGAAGAATAGAGGTGCCCAACCTGGAGGAAAGAAGACCTCTGTCGCTCCCCGTCTTCGTGGAGGAACGACACAGGACCCTGCGCTGTTCTTTTGTCTGCTCGGCCCTCCCCGGGTTTGCTGCTGGTTCTTCCCGGGTTGGCTACCGACCCTTCCACCTCCGTGGAAGGGCGGTTCCCCCTAGCCACTTTCCCCACTTCCGCGGGGGAGCGGCACACCGCCGGCCGGCTCTCTCGGGGGCTGCTCAGATGTTCCTCAGGTGTTCCTCTTAGATGTTCCCCCTAGATGTTCCTGGTGCATGTTGTCTCTCTCCTCCTTTATAGTCCTCTTCACCAATCCCAACTCTGCTACCCACACGCCGAGTACGCTGCTCTCCTCCAATCAGGAGCAGGTCCTACAGTTTATTGGTTGAACTGGAGGCAGCTGTGTAGAAGCTGTTTCTCCCTTCTCAGCGCCATATTGTGGGAGAGCAGATGCATAGAATAAGTCTTAATTCCAGTAACTTAGTCTAGTCCGAGTTGCTCCCCACAGACCTCAGAAAGCTGCCAGAGTGCTGTATGGGAACAGAGAAGGTGTGTTTGGAGCTCCCCAGGACATCAGCCTGGGACAACGGGGTAGACACGAGATGTGGTCAGATCTTGGCTTCTCAAGAAGACTTTTAGTAACACGGATGCCTGAAGTGAGCGTGAGCTCTGTCCCTATTCCTGGAAGCGTTCACACCCAGGCCGGACGCCAGCTCTCATGAATGTGGGAGAGGGAGTCCTGCCTAGAGGGCCGGGGGCAGGCTGGATGGGGTCACCCGGAGGTGGTGTGCAGATGAGCCGGAGGGGAACACTGGATCGGTCTGCAGTGGCATTTGGGGCAGGGAAGGTGGGGAGGAGTTTGGGTCCCCTGACCAGCAGCTGTCTTGCCAAGGAGCTCACTTGGTGGGCACGGGTGGGGTCGTAGCTGTCCGGCTCTCACAGCAGTGGGTTGCTAAGCCTGGTGTCTGTGGCTGGGACCACTGAGAGAGCCGAAGCAGAGGAGAGGGGCAGGGCAGGTGGCAGCTGGGAGAGGGGCCTCTTGGGTCTGGTGCCTGCTGGGTTTCCCGAAGACTGGGGTAGGAGCAGGAGAGGCAGCCTGGGGCCGGGAAAGAGAAGGCAGGGCCGGGGCAGTCTTTGGGTGTCTCCCCGCTGACACCCCTCCTCTGCGGTTCCATTCAGACATGGAGTCGGAGCTGCTGCAGGGGAGCCAGGCCATCCTGCTGCGCTCTGCGGACCTGACCGGGCTGGAGAAGCGCGTGGAGCAGATCCGTGACCACATCCATGAGCGCGTGCTCTACTACGCCACCTGCAAGTGACGCCCGGGGCTCCTGGGGCGCGGATCGGGCCGGGGTGCTGTCTGGCTCCCGGAGAGGGATGCAGACCACAGCAGGGCCCGGACCACACCTGGCTTGCGGCTGTTGGGTGACCCTAGGCTGCAGCCGAGCCCCAGCTGGTGGGACACCTGCCTTAGAGGGACAGGGGCGGCAGAAGTGGGCTTGCTGCTGTGACCAGCTCTCAGGTCCAGGGGGCTGGGCGGGGCAGTATCTCCACCCTTTGTCCTCTGATGTGGCCGAATGCTGGACCAACACAAAAACATAACAAAAAATCACGTGCAAGTGAAAAGCCCAATAAAAATCTTTGGACAGGAGTCCGAGGCTCGGAGAGGGAAAATGGCTCTGTCTCTTTGTTCCGTGCGTCTCTGCCGCTTGTGTCTGCCTCCTGACTGAGTTCCTGGACGCTCCTGGGCTCAAGCCCATTGGTCACCCTACTCTGCTCCGTCCGGCTGGCTCGGAGCCAGACTGAGGGAGGCTGAGCCCCTCTGCCTCAGGACTTGCAGGATCTGTCCTCAGATCCCAAGCACGATTCTCACCTTCGAACAGCGATCCAACTTCTGATTGGGAGAGTAGGAAACAGAAACCCAGGGAGGGGAGGTGACACAGTCAAAGTCACACAGCCCGCAGAGGCAGGACTAAAGCTAAGCTTCTCTTTGGCTCTGTCTCACCCTCAAAGAGAAGTTGTACGGGTGTGTGTGTGTGTGTGTGTGTGTGGTGGTTGTGGTGGCGGAGGGAAAGGAGCAGATTGGACATTCGTATGCTAACCATGTCCTGGGCATTTTGTCTACATTAACTTCATCATGGCGAATCGGTCTGTGTGTTGACCACTGTGCTGGGCACGTGGTCTACATGACCTCCTGATGTCCATGGTGCCGTTTTTCCCATAGGAGAAGCAAAGAAACCGAGACGCAAAAGGCTTGTTGCCCTGGGCTGTGGCTGAGTGTCTCGCCCAGGGGCAGGCACAGAGCTGGCAGGTTGCACACAGCTGTGGCTCAGAGCCCTGTTGTCCTAACAGAGTCATTGAGAGAAGGGACTCTGGAGCCAGCCTGCCCGGGCTCCAGCAGGGAGCAGGTCGTTGTGGGGCCGTAACTCAGGTCAGCCTACAACACACCGTAGGCTCCTCAGGTCAGCTCCCACGGCTGCTTCCTACCTGATCTGACGCTCGACGCACACCCAGAAGTCCCTGAGCCACTTCTGACTTCGAAAGGAGCAAATGGAGCCTCATAGAGAAAAATATGTCCATTTTATTGCACACAACACTGAGCGTGAAGCTGGAGTGGTGGGAAGGACAGGGACGATGCACCTGAACTCCTGGGAGAGAGGGGGCACCAGAGGCAGCATGAGGAGCCCTGGCCGCAATGCAACAGTCAGCTCCCAGCGCCTGCTTAGCTGGAGGTGCGTGTGGAGGCTGTGTGGCCTGCATGGGAAGTCCTCTCAGTCCCCGCTTGTGAATCTCCCTCTGTTCGCTTCTGTGAGAGTGTGGCGGGAGAGAGGCTGCACGGTGCGCCTGGGAGGAGGCTGGCTGGGGCTCAGCGTGGTGGGCGCCGGCCGAGGGCTAATCCTGGAGTTAAGGATTAACGTTTTGAGAGCTCACAGGCCGAGCGCAGGTTGCTGCCTGGCATTCATGCGGGTGGACAAGCAGCTGCATCAGAAAGCACAGTCTTGGCCCTGGGCGTGGGGGCCGAAGAGGCAAGAGCTGGTGTGTGCAGAGCAGGGGAGTTCCTAGGCGAATGTTCCATATGGCTTTGCTCAGAGAAGGGGCGCAGCTTGGCCAGCCTGTGAAGCTTTTCACAGCAACAAAACAGACCCAGGCGACGGCGATCTAGGGACACTGCACAGAGCCACAGCACTAGGGTGTGGGGGCGTAGAGCAGGCAGGTCGGGAGACCTGGGAGCCAGCCGGTGTGGCTCCTCCTGCCCACAGCGTCAAGGAGCCTCCGCGCCTTGGGGCTCCCTCCCGGCCCCCTGTGAGATCTGTCCCTGGGCGGCAGCCGGCAGGTAGCTTCTGACCAAAAACCGCTCCTGCCAGGACCTGTTCCGCTTGCTCGCCTCCTTCCCTCTGCCGCGTGGACGCCGGGTTTGGAAGGGCAGAGAAGAGTTGAACGTCTCTCCTGTGAAGCAGAGCGGGGGTCAGGCTGGGGGGCTGCCCCTCTGCTCCCCTGGGCCCTATCATTTAGACCCTGGGGTGGGGTTTGCTCCCTGGGACAGAAGCTGTGCCCTGGCCCTGTGGCCTCAAGTCCTCACCTGAAAACTACAGTGTCATGGGCCCCGGCTCCAGGGATCACATAATGAGACAGACCCCAGTCTGCCCTGCCCGGCAGTGAGAGCTGCCGCCGGCTTTCACTGGCACCATGGCCTCTGACTTGCAGTTCCTGGAAAGGAGACAAACAGCAGGCTCTGAGGCCTTGGAGGAAGGAATCGGAGCTGGGGGCCCTTTTCTGTGCCCGTAGCCCCCACGCGGCTCTCTCCTCATGAGGATCAGAAGGTGCAAGCCACTGAAGAAAGGGCACAGATGGCAACCAAGCCTTGTGCCAACCCCAAACACGGGGGCCCCAGAACCTCGCGGAATCCAGCGCTCACCGTACACACGCTTTCTGCAAGCTCTTACCATCCCTGTTGCTTCACTAACCTTTTACAGAGGGGAAGGCTGCGCAGGCTGACATGCCTCAATCAACCCATTGTATAGATGAGCAAACTAAAAACAGCCAACCACTGACTCATCTGCCAATAGTCTTGCAGCTACTGGGTGGCGGGGACAGGGCGGGGAGCGTTCTCCTGATCCCGACCCAGAGCTCTTCCCACCCTGCAGAGTCACCCGTGAGTGGGAGACGCCTTCCTGTCACTTCCCGGCCTGTTGCCTGGGTTCTCACAGGGCTCAGGCTCCGTCTTTGGCTGAAATACGTACTGTTTTTTGTTGGCCTTTTTGAGGAGCGTGGGCTCGGAGCAGTAGGAGGACTTCCCTTTGCTTCCAATGCTCAGGCAGCTGGAGCAGCAGCCGCAGGGCCCGGCGGCCAGGGGTCCCTGGTGCATGGGCACCAGGCTGCTGCTGATATGGAGGGAGCCATTGACCAGGCAGTTGAGGGACCTGGCGCCAGGCGGGGCGGGCCGGGGGCTGTGCTGGCAGGGCAGCCGGGGCAGCGTGGGCAGGGGCGCGCTCTGGTCCAGGGCAGGCGCCTCGGTGATGGTGATCTCAGGGGAGCTGGGTCTGGAGGCTTCTGAGGGTTGAGGGAGGGGCGGCCGGTCCTCCACCTCCGGGCGGCCGCCTGGGCTGTGCATGTTCATGTGTAGCTTCCTCATGTGGTGCACCACGGCGGCTGCGTTGAAAGCTTGCTAAGGAGACACAGGCAGCCTCTGGCCTTCTGCATCCTCGCGCTCGCCCGCTGCCCACTTCGAGGGCTCCAGTGCCAGCTGGGACACCCCAAGGAGAGCCCTTGCACAGCCCCTACCCTAGCCCAGAGTCTGGGGGCCCAGCACAGCCTGCCCACCCCCTGGAGAGAACGACTCACCCTCCACTTGCTCTTGGCAAAATTCTTTTGGATCTGGAGGCTGACGGATGGGTAGATGTCTCGGTGGAGGGCCGTGTTCCCGTCAATCCTGCGGGCACAGGAGAGGACATCTGGCTACCGGGTGAGTGCGGACCCTCAGGGCTGGGCAGGGGGCAGTGCATGCAGGCCGGGAACCAAGTTGAGAGGAGTGTCCCGGAGAGGACAGCCCACAGGAGGAAGGGCTAGAACCAGGCTGCCTTTTGGCAAAACCAAACAGGAGCTTGAGAGCAGGGTTGGCAAACTACAGCCGGTGAGCCAAATCTACCAGTTGACTGTTTCTGTTACAAAGTTTTCATCTGCAGAGAGTCACCCCCCTTCACGTAGGCAGTCTGTGGTTGCACGTGTGGTTGGCCAGCAGAGCTGTGTTGTTGCCATAGAGACGGTATGGCCAGCAAAGCCTGGAATACTTGCTGTCTGGCCCTCCACAGAAAGAGCTTATTGACCCCTGCATCACAGGATGCTTGCGTCCTCACCACCCTTGAGCTCAGAGTCTCACTCCCGACCCTCCTCCTCCTGGAAGCCTGCCTCCATGAAGCCTTCTGCCAAAGACTGCCCTTCCCCCATCCCCTCATTCTCCACCTCTGAGTGTTCCTCACACACCTGCTGTGTGCACAGTACTGCGCCAACTACTAAGAGACCCAGGGAAGCAAGAGATTTGAGCCCTGATCCCTAGCAGCCCACAGTCTAAGTGTGGGGTGTTGTCCATGCCGAGGTATCGTCTATTGTCGTACAAGGAGGACTGGGGAGGCGGAGGCGCACGTGGCCTGCAGGACTCAGGGAAGGGCCGAGGCTGATGTGGATGCTGGAGGATGCTAGACAGAGGGCAAGAGGCAGGTGGTGAAAATGGTGACTCAAGCTGTGGTTAGAACAAAGCTTGGTGGAGGGGTGGAGGAGGGCAGAAAGGTGTATGTAGCTCTTAGACCCATGTGCAACACAGAAGCTGTGCTAGGGATCCTGGGAAATGAAGCCGGATATAAAGGGTCAGGGCAAGGACAAAGGAATCTGGGCTTGCAGTGGTAGGAGGTGGGGAGCTTTTGTAAAATCTTGAGCAGGGTTGGGGCTGGCATTGTGGTGTAGTGGGTAAAGCCACCACCTGCGACACTGGCATCCCATTTGGGCACCAGTTCATGTCCCAGCTGCTCCATTTCTGATCTAGTTCCTTGCTAATGGCCTGGGAAAGCAGTAGAAGATGGCCCAAGTGCTTGGGCCCCTGCACCTGTGTGGGAAACCCGAAAGAAGCTCCTGGCTCCTGGCTTTGGCCCAAACGAGCACTGGCCATCGCGGCCATCTAAGGAGTGAACCAGCGGATGGAACATCTCTCTCTCTCTCTGTCTCTCCATCTCTCTCTCTGTGACTCTAACTTTCAGAGTAAATAAATCTAAAACAAACAAAAAAGATGCTTCAAGGCTTTACTTCTTTACCAGTTGGCCATTTTGTGCTTGATCTGGAATCACATGGAACAGGTTTTGCTCACAGAGGACAAGACGGAGTTTCTGTTACTGAGTGCCTCCTGGGGAACTAGTGCTGAGTGTTGTGCCCTATAGGAGCCCACACTCACGGCTGCATGACAGTGTCTGGCTGCCTCTGCCTCCTGCCCTGACTGTGACTCAGCTGCCGCCCTGTCCCCTCTCAATGCTGTCTGTGTGGCCAAGGAACAGTGTGTGCTCCTGACACGTCGCAACAGTCAGTGGCTCAGGGCAAGCAGGGTCTGGGGACAGCAACGTGCACAAGGCGGCAAGGTTGGGGGAAGCAGAGGCCGGGGTCCTGAGTGCACCCCATTTCTCACTCACCAGGGGTGCCTCAAGGCCTTCTCACAGGTGTACCGCTCATTCGGGTCCTTCTCTAGCAGGTGGCAAATAAAATCCTTGGCTAAGGGGTGGAATCAAAGACACGACAACTGAGGACCAGATTTCATGACTGATGGAAAATCACTTCCGGGCTGGTGGGTGGCAGTGAATGCATGCTTAGTTAATCTCCCAAAGAGGCAATTTTAAGAGTCTTAAAAGAGAGAGGGAAAAAAAAAAAGCCAAGCCACCTAGCAGCAACCCACCAGAAGCCACCACCGAGATGCTGCACGCAGCCTCACCCACTCAGCTCTGCAGAAACGTCGCTGTCACGCGGCAGGGATTCCTGCTCGCCACCTTTGCATGCGTTTGCACCATCCATGGGCCAACACCCGCACATGGGCACACATGTGAGTGCCGGCCTACTCCAGCTCTGGTCTACACCGAGCAGGCCCAGCAAGCCTGGAGCATTTGCTGCTTGCACACACAGACACTGCACACTCTGCTCCGGTCTCTAGCCCCTTGGTCTTGCCTGTCTGGGACACTCGCCCCTACCTGACCCTGCCCTGCTGGCCTCCCCTCTACACCGCACCCTCCCAATCCTCTCCCCCCCGCCCAACCCCTGCCACCTGCTCCAGACCCACCGAGGTTCTGTCTCCAGGAAAACAAATGCATGAGCCTCAAATGCAAACAGTGTATCTGGCCTTTGAACCAGATGCAGATCTCTCCACTTTCCTTGGCAGCTTGTCCTGTCCAATCCCCAGGGACTTGGCAGAGCCAGGACTGCCATCTTTTGTTAAGCTCTTTTCTCCACCGAGCCTGTTGTCTCGTCCTTCACACCCACCGCGCCTACCTGACTCAGAAATGTCATCCCAGAACGGCGACTCGAACTCATAGGAGCCCTCCTTGATCTTCTCAAACAGCTTCGACTCGGTTTCTTCGTAGAACGGGGGGTACCCGCACAGCCTGCAGTGAGACAGGAGGGAGGTGGTGCTGCATCCCCTTCCTCCCCAAGCCTGCCTCCCTCTCCTCCCCCAGCCTCCCACTGCACACACACAAGAGGGCAACGAGGCTCCCGGGCCAGCCGTGTGACCAAGGACATGGGTCTGCCTCTGGTTCGGGTATGACTTAGGCCCTGGAGGTTTGGGCAGGAGCCAGGCTTGAAACAGGCATCCCCAGAGGGTCCCTCTGTCCTCCACCCCCCAGGCCCGTACTGCCCCTGACTCTTGGGTGTGGAGAAGGACCTGTCAGCAGGGTTGTAGAGAGTCCACTTGAGTGTAAGTTTCAGGAGGGATTTTTTTTTTTTTGGACAGGCAGAGTTAGTGAGAGAGAGAGACAGAGAGAAAGGTCTTCCTTCCATTGGTTCACCCTGCAAATGGCACTACGGCTGGCGCGCTGTGCCGATCCGAAGCCAGGAGCCAGGTACTTCCTACTGGTCTCCCATGCGGGTGCGGGGCCCAAACACTTGGGCCATCCTCCACTGCCTTCCCGGGCCACAGCAGAGAGCTGGCCTGGAAGAGGGGCAACTGGTACAGAATCTGGCGCCCCAACTGGGACTAGAACCTGGGGTGCCAGCGCCGCAGGTGGAGGATTAGCCAAGTGAGCCATGGCACCGCCCAAGAGGGATTTATTTAGTTTGCTTCATTGACTGCCCCTAGCCCCTAGCCCGGCAGCGATGCAGAGCAGGCTGTCAGTGAACACTTATTGAGAAAATGAATGAGTGAGTGACATTAGTCCATAGAAGCGGAGGAAACAGAGACCTGAATCCTCACTTGGGGTAGACAGGAGAAGCAGGTTACTTTTCTCTGGGTCAAGTGCACTACAGGTGAGGAGGCATGGCAGGGCAAGGGTCATGAGCAGGTTGGGAAGGGGAGAGCCGGAAAATGCACGGAGGGGAGCAAGAGGCAGAGGCCCCGAGCAGCTCCGTCCTGGCCATGGTTTTGCCTTAGGCTGACGTCACCAGGAGAGAGGCAGGAACACTGGGCCCACCTGGCTTCCAGGCCTGGCTCATCCCACTCTTTCACTGCTGGTTCCAGAGTGGGACTCACATTTACCCACAGGAAGTGGGGGTGGGGAGCAGAAGGAGGGAGTGCCTGGGGGCTGAGCTGGGTTCCTGCTGAGCTGGTTTTGTAGCTTGATGGCGACTGGGGGACAGAAGAACCTTTGGAGCTGTATGCGAGAGTAGGGGTGTGTGTGTGTGTGTGTGCACGCACCTGCACCTGCACATGTACAGGCTTTGGAGGAGGAGCAGAGACAGGGGAGGGGAGGGAAGTGGGTGAGCAGGCTCCCAGATTGCTCAGGGCCCTGAGACAGTGGAGCTTCTACTCACAGGATGTAGGTGATGACGCCAATGGACCAGCAATCCACGGCCTTGCTGTAGGGCTTCTGGGCCAGCACTTCGGGGGCTGTGGCAAAGCAATGGCTGAGTCAGGGTGGGGTGCAAGGGAACAGGGCTGTGGGGGTGGGGACTGGAGTTCAGGAAGACGCTTGCAGGAGAGGGCTAGGGCAGCCACCTCCCAGAGAGCAGGGGCTGGGTCTCCCCAGGAAAGACTGCTTCTTTCTGCAAAGAGAAACCCGGACTTCTCCCTCAGCCTGGACATTCCCCACTCCAGTGTGCATGTCGCCCCCAGCAGCCTGAGCGCTCCCGGAAGGCACGGCCTGTGTTTTCCCGCTCAGACTGGGAGATCTTTGGGGTAGGTGCTATCTCCCCTACTAGACTGGGGGCCCCCTCAGACTGGGTGCGTTCTGTGGGAAGGGCTTTGCTGCTTGGACTGCGAGCTCCGCGAGGAGGGCTGAGGGCTTGCCTTGTGCTGCTTGGAGCTCTGGGCAGCAGAGCTGCCTTCTGCATGCATCTCAGACTCGAGGGCCTGGTGCCCACTGAGGCTCCGCACCTGCTGCTCGTGACTGCTCTCCCAGATTCCTCTCCTGAGTCAGGGCCCGGCTTCCCACTCCCCAACTCCTATAGGTGATGCCTAGCCAGGAGGAAAGGGGCAGGAGTGGACGCCGTGGGTCTCTGCTTTCTCCACCACAGTTCCCAGGGATGCTGCCACTGTGTCCTGCCTGCCCTCTTCTTCTGGGAAGCCTTGGGAGCCGACAGGGCTGCTCAGGCCTGAGACACCCCCCCCACACCATTGCCAGTTTCCCAGGGTCCCTCGTCCAGTGCATATTTGGGAGCCCACATCTGGGTTCCTCAGGCACAAACTCCATATCCTGTGGTTCCAGGCACTGAGCAGTGAAGGGTGGGGCTGAGCTCCAAAGTGGGAGAAAGCAGAGCGGGTGAGCACTCAATCCCTGAGGTCTCTCCTGCTCTCTGGGTTCGAGATCTTGTCTAGGCCCTCGGTCTAGCTGGAAAGACAAAGCCAGGAAGTCTGTCTGCAAGAGTGATAGTACAACCATGAGGTGGCTTCAAAATTTCATGGGAAATCTGTGTTATCTCCTTATTCCATGAATTTGTTGGAGCCCCTTCATATAGACAGAGCTGTAGGGAGGGCTCAGGAGTGAGGTGTCTCTAAAGACGTAAGATTTGGGATCAGTAGGGAAAGTGGTAGAGACAGATGGATTAACTAGCCTGAAACCTCATAAGTGAACCTAGGGGCTCCCCTGAAGTTGAATCCTATAACCTCACAATCACATCTCTGACTAACACACATGTGGTTGAATGCAGCCAACTGGTCAACCTCCCTCCTGTTCGCAGACTCACCCACATAGCCTGGGGTCCCACAGGCAGTGGACATGACACCGTTCTGTTCCATCTTGGACAGACCGAAATCCGTGATCATTATCTTAGAGTTCTCTTCTGGGGTGAGGTACAGCAAGTTTTCTGGCTACAAGGGAACAGAATTATGCAATGTTGCATACAATCACCTAAGACACATCACTTTCCACTTGATACAGTTTTTTAGAAAGCTGAGCCCTGGGCCAAGCTCTTCTTCCCCCATTCTTCTCTGCTCCCTCCTGCCTGCCCCTTCACCCTGTACCTCATGCTCTGTGTCTTGCCTGTAGCCCTGATGTCACTCTATCTTATAGCATCAATATATTAACTCCTCCCCCCAATTACCCCAGGAAGACCCCAAGTCAGCCCGCCTCACCCCCAGGTACTCCAGACCTGTTGGTTTCATTAGGGACTCCACCCAAGTGAACTGTCTCTGATCTTGTCAAAGGCTAGTGCAATACCTATGTGCCATGTAGACTCTCAATAAGGTGTTTGTTGCACTTGATTTTGATTATGGGTGGAGTCAAGAAATTCGTGGCTTATTTTGATACTCTGATAGAGTGCGAGATTTGGGGAAAGGTGAAGGTGCACAGGAACAATGACTGCTGGGTAATCTGAGGGCAGAAGGGACTTGGGAGTCACTCAGTCCAGTCCTCTCACTCTGCAGAGCTTAGCCGTCCCACCATGCATGCAGCTTCCTTCCCATCGGGGGCTCCCGCCTTGCCACCTTTAAGTCTCTGTGGACGATGCCATTCTCGTGGAGGTATTTCACAGCGGACAGCACCTGCTGGATCACCAGGCTGGCATCCTTCTCTGTGTAGACGCCCCGCTCCAGGATCCGGTCAAAGAGCTCCCCACCGGAAACTCTGCAGACAGAGGGGCAAGGGCGGGAATCCAGCTCTTATTTCAGGCTAAAGGAATGAGAATGAGGTTGCTCTGTAGGTACTGGGGACGCAGCTGTGCTGGGACAGGCAGGCACCGTGAACTGTGTTTTGTATGGTTCCAGTCTCAGCATGCCTCTTCTGGGTGCCTGGAATGCCTCCCCTAAGGAGTCATTGGCCTCTCTCTGGAAACTTCCTTTCACGGCACATGCCCTTGGCTGGGGTTGCACAAGAAGACAATTATCCCTTAGCGTGGCCACAGTTATCTGCCTTCCTTCCTGGCCTAGGACACAGGGAGTACCTAAGGCTGAAATTGCCTTAGGATGTAGGGGTGTTTTGGGACTCAGATTACGTGGTTATCTCAGACTCAGAAGAGCTTAATGATCAAGTCCAATCTCCCATTTCTTGGATTCTCTCGCACTGTCTTTTCTGGGAAGTTTTCTAGTCGGTATTAGAACACTCAAGCATCAGAGGACTCTCTACCTCCGAAGAGACTTTTATTTTTTGGCATCTTTTTAATATCTCCTTATATCATGAAGAAATCTGACTCCTGTTGTACCTACCGGATGATACCCATTTCATCGTCTGAGACCACACGAAACAAGAGTAATATCCTTTCTGGCAGATCTTTCCAAGTACATGAAGACAGAGAAATGCCCTCGCAAGGCCTTGCCTTCTCAGGGGCAAACACTTCCAGGTGATTCCACCTGCGAGTCAGGGTTTCTGCTCTCCTGGCCAGCCTTGCCCCATCATCGTTCCACGATGGGAGATGTGGTAATGCAAACCCAACTGCACACCACATAGGACCAGGAAATGGAATTTCTCCAATCAAAATGCACACCCACCATCCTGCTCCTTGTGTTTCTGGAGAGAAAAGCCCACAAGGAAAATGCTGTGTGCACACAGCTGCGACTCCCTGACCCTGGCAGCCTGGGTCCAGGAACTGGTGCCCCAGGGGTCTAGCAGCTCCTCCATCACGTGCTACTCCTGCTGAATTGGCCTCAAGGTGCCACGTGGTCCCTGCTCACTGCTCAGTGTCACTCTGGGCCCTCCCACTTTGGCTGCCAGCTACCTTTCTTCTCTGGGTCCTTAGGTGAGCTCAGGTCTTGGTCAGTTGCCACGGCCTCAGTTTGTTCCTTAGTTTCTGAGGAATCAGCCTGTCAGTCAAAAACCATCGTCTCAGCCTCCCGGGGCCCAGCAGAGCTCTCTGGGGAAAGCAGGTGGCCTCCCACTTACAGCTGCATGACCAGGTAGTAGTGAGTGGTGCTCTCATAGATGTCCTCCAGGGTCACGATGTTCTCATGCTTGATTCTGGGGAAAAGAAAGCACTGTGGTGAAAGGCGTGTGGCTCAGGTTCTCAGATAAGGAACGCAGACCCAACCCACAAGTTTCTGTCCACGAGTGTGGCAATGTTCATGAGGACAGAGTCCTTGGGAGGCCTTCACAACAAGCAGGGGGTCACAAAGCCATCCCCCAGAAAAAGACTCTAAGGTGCTTTTTTTTTTTTTTTGACAGGCAGAGTGGAGAGAGAGAGAGAGAGAGAGAGAGAGAGAGAAAGGTCTTCCTTTGCCGTTGGTTCACCCTCCAATGGCTGCCATGGTCGGCGCGCTGCGGCCAGCTCACCACGCTGCTCCAATGGCAAGAGCCAATTGCTTCTCCTGGTCTCCCATGGGGTGCAGGGCCCAAGCACTTGGGCCATCCTCCACTGCACTCCCTGGCCACAGCAGAGAGCTGGCCTGGAAGAGGGGCAACCGGGACAGAATCCGACACTCTGACAGGGACTAGAACCCGGAGTACTGGCGCCACAGGCAGAGGATTAGCCTAGTGAGCCGCAGCGCCGGCCTAAGGTGCTCTTAATCCGTATCTGTTGAGTGAATAATTGATCAGCCTGCCTTCAAGGAACAAATGTTTCACTGTTACTCCAGGAATCTCTAACGTTAGTAAGACAGAAAGGGAAAAGACCCCAGGAAGGCTAAGGGAGTGCCCCACACCAGGTTATCCAACAAGAGGGACCTGGATCTTCATCACGTAAGGGAGTGTACTTCAATACAGGGGTTCTCCTGTTGGGTAGCCAGGGAGGAAGTGTTGAAAAAAAAATGCCATCCCAGGATGCTTAGTTTTGGAGTGGGTTCTGGGGGATGCCTTAGATGGGTGGCTCCCAACCAGGGGCTAGTCTGTCTCTTCCGGGACACTTTGCAATATCTTGAGACATTATTGGAGTGGAGGGAGGCGCTACTGGCATCTAGTGGGTAGAGGCAGAAGTGCTGCCCATCATGCAGCACTGCACAGGTAGCCCCCAGGACAGCTAGGGTATCAATAGTGTGGTGGTCGGGAAACCCTGCTCCCAGCCATCCTTGTCTGGCATTATTCAGAGACCATGGCAAGCAGAATAATCATATTAGCTGACGGGCTTGGCTTTCCAGGCAGCAGCTGTGCCCATGCCATAAACAGGAAATTCTCTAGGAAGTTTTACTCATGGTTATGCGGCACAGGGGCTAAGAACTTAGACTCTGAGTCAGCTCGGCCTGGGTTCAGATTTGGCTGAGACATGTACTAATTGGGTAATTTTAGCTGGCTTATGTAAATCTTCCAAGGATAATTTTCCTTGAATGAAAAGTACATCTTTCTCCTAGCATTATATCAGGATTAAAAGAGATAATGCATGAAAAATGCTTAGCACAGACCCCTGGGAATGGAAAAAACATCGTCACTGGTAACTATTTTATGGAAATATCCAGATAATTTTTTAAAAGATTTGCTGTAGTGGCTGTTTTATGGAGTCACTCATAAGCTGATAATTCTTTTTTTTTTTTTTTTTTGACAGACAGAGTTAGACAGTGGGAGAGAGAGAGAGAGAGAGAGAGAGAAAGGTTTTCTTTCCATTGGTTCACCCCCCAGATGGCCACTACGGCCGGTGCGCTGCACCGATCCGAAGCCAGGAGCCAGGTGCTTCCTCCTGGTCTCCCATGCGGGTGCAGGGCCCAAGGACTTGGGCCACCCTCCACTGCCTTCCCAGGCCACGGCAGAGAGCTGGCCTGGAAGAGGTGCAACCGGGACAGAATCCGGCGCCCCAATCGGGACTAGAACCCGGAGTACTGGCGCCACAGGCAGAGGATTAGCCTATTGAGCTGTGGCGCCAGCCACATAAGCTGATAATTCTAACATTAATTTTTTGGTTATCCACTCACTGAACAAGTATCTGTTGAGTGTCTTTGCTGCTGATACAATGCAATAAGAAAGACAGCCATAGTCCCTGATCTCAGTGAGTTTATAGTGTTTCTCAGCCCTAATGTCTCTCGACCCCAGACTGATACCCCAGCATCCTACCAGATACCTCCATGTAGACATAGGTGGATACTTATATTCCAGCCAATTTCTCTCTATTTTCTCCAAGCCCTACACATTCCTTCAGTTCTCTATCCCAGGGAGTGAGGTTACTCTCTACATAATTCCTTACTCTCAGGTTTCTGTGAATGGTCTCTTCTATATTCTTACCAAACCCAATCACTCCTCTTTGGGAAGTATCTCTTGCATCTAATCCTCTTGCCCCTCCTGATCCTGCTGCTGCCGTGGCTTGCAGCTCCATCCCATTCCTAGATTATCATGACAGACTTGTAGCTGGCCTCCCATTCTCCAGTCTGATGTCTTCCAGTCCATCCTCTACTATGCTTCAGAGAAATGGGTAGACAATATCAACCTGATCCCTGATTCCTGACTCAGAATTCTTTGATGACTTCTCTTTGCCCACAACATTGAGCCAACATTCTCTTTTGTGGCATCCATGATCTTTTTATCCAGTCAGGTGCAATTTCATCACCTCAGCTCATCTCCCGTCTCTTCATGCTACCGACTCTACGTTCAAGGGCTTCCAGTGCTCACTCCTCCCGCACAGCCCCTGCACTTCTGTGATTCTACGCGAACATTGACTCTCAGGCTGAATTTCCTTTCTGCACTGCCCTTCCTGCTCTTACAACATTCTGCTCCTCCCTCAATGTCCTGCTTTGAAAATGTTCCCCTATTCATGAACACACACATGAGCAAATGAATCCCTGTTTCCTCTGAACTCTCCCTCCTTTGGGTGGGACTCGCATCCGTGGGATTGGAGTTTGCAATGGGCTGCTCTGTGTCTGCCTGGAAAGCGTGAGCTCCTGAGAGCAGGGAACCATGTGTGCCTTGTCCTGTGGTCCCAGACCTGGCTGGGTGCACCTGGCACACGTGGCCTCACCATGGCGGTTCCACAGGGCCTTCCTGTAAGTGTCCCACTCGGAACCTGTGATGGTTTGTTAGCGAAGTCTTCATCCTCATGGTGGTTGGGCTGTTGAACCTGCAATTGCTTTGGACCAAACTGAGGCTAACTCCCAAATCTTCTGTTGCCTCCTTAATCATTGATTTCGGCTGCCACTGGGCCTCAATTGATTTTAGTTCCTTTGAGCTAGTTACTCTTTGGCCTATGTGCACCAACCAGCTCTGTGGCCAGTGGGTGCAGGAACACTGCAGCCAGAAAAAAGAGGGAGGCAGGACAGTGGTGTGATCACCCTGAGCTCATTGACCTGAGCTAACTGTGACTCTGGTGTAGAAAACCTGAAAGGCGCTGTTGCCCTCCCAGCCCTGTACCCAGCCCACCCACGACCCACTCACTTTTTCAACACGGCGATTTCATTCTCCAGGCTGCTGTCCCGGAAGGCGGGGGACTTCTTGATGCACTTTAGGGCGAAGAGCTTCCCGGTCACCCTTTGCTTCACCAGGAAAACTTCAGAAAAAGCTCCCCTGGGGACGAGGCATGCGGAGATAAAACTTACTGCTGGCTGGAGAACATGGAGAGGCAAAACAGATGGGGAGGTGCAGGAAGTGGATAACGCGTTCCCATGGTCAGGGTGGGCACCGTGAACCGTACCGGGGGCAGGGCCTATCTGCATATCCATATTTTCTTTCCCTAGGAGATTGTATTGGGAGGAAAAGAGCCCCCCACAGACTCAGGCACAAGGCAGGTGCTAATGCCTGGTGCTACGATTTGGGAGCACTCTACTTTGGCTGTGGCAAGGTTTCACCATTGCAAAACCCATTGACGAGAGACCACTGCAGCCAATTCGCTTCACTTCCAACACAGTACAGCATGACACACTGGCATGGCAGTTAGAGCAACTCTACCTGGCCCAGGTTCAGAGAGAAAAGACTCCTGTATCGATTTTAGCTAGTGATAGTCACACTGAACCAATGATCAGAGGATAAGAGGGCGGAGCAAACGCTCATTCATTCAGTAGCATCTGCAAGGACCATGGACAGAGTCCAGTAGCTTCTGGCGCAGGCTTTCTGAAGACAGAGGCAATGGACCCCAGTGGGAATACAGGGTCAGATTCCAAGTCACAGGCGTCTTGATTTGAAGGGGCTCCTCTGGAGAAGAGGCCATCAGGACAGCAGTCAAGCTAGGGGTAGGTGCTGGAGCCTTGGTTTCTCATGTTAGAAACCAAGCTTTTGGGGGTGACAAGTTGTCTCCAGCTGCCTCCTGCTAAAGTGGGAAGACTGGCAGCATCTGATTCATTCATAGGATTGTTCAGATTAAATGATCTCACGTATGTGAAGTGCTTAGACGTGTTCTTGCACCTATGAAAACCATATGTGTTTGGTACCGTTCTCATTGTTATGGCTATGATTGGATTATCCTGGGGGACAATACCTGGTGGTACAGGGAACATAGAGTCTAAGTGAGCAGACAGCTGAGCCACCTCTCCCCTGCCAGCTGGGAGTCCTACAACGAAGGCCCCAAAGCAGCGAAGCTTTAGTAAGCACATTACACATCTGCATTAGAAAATACTTGGCACTTCCTGTTTCCCCCAGCTGCACTTGCAACTGACTTCATCAGAGCCTCCAGAGACGGCTCTATTCATCCATTTGCACCCTCAGCCCTCAGCCGAGGTTCACCCAGCACCTACTGAGTCGTAGACCCGGGAGAGAAAAGAGTTAGTGTCTCCATGCTCAAGGAGGCTACCAACGAGGGCGGAACAGGGAGAAGTAAGCAATCAGCGTTTGATTTGAAAACTGCTCTGGTGTGTTCTGTGAATGCCTGTGGAACTCACGGAAGCTCTGTGGGGCAGGCACTGGGTAGCATTGGCTGGCTTAGAATCTGAGACAAGACACACACAAATAATAAGAATGACTATTACGAGACCACAGACAAAGGGATACTTAAGACAGGGGCTCTCTGATGGTTGGGCACGATGTGCACTGCACAACTCCAGCAGGTGCCACTCCTGTGGGAGCCACATGTACATATCATAATTACTACAGCGGGCAGAGGCCAGAGGGAAGGACACCTTTTCCAGAATGGGTGCCAAATGACTCCTTGGGAGAGCAGAAGAGCGTACAGTTCATGGCCCTCTGCTTCTAAGAGTATGCTGAGCTCAGTTTTAAGAGATGAATGAGTTATCCCAGTGAGGGAAAAAAAGAATTGGAAATGTTTCCTACAGGAGTAAGAAGGAAGCATGAGAAAAAGCATGGGACTGCAGAGAGCAGGTAGGCGCAGGGCAGCCGGTGGGATGAGCCAGCACTATCTGTCAAGTCCTAGCTCTGCTTCCCGTTAATGCACAGGGGATGCTGGGTTCCTGACACACACAGGGAGACCTGCATTGTGTTCTTGGCTTCTGCCTTGGACCTGGCCTAGCCCTGCCCGTTGTGGATACTTGGGGACTGAACCAGCAGAAGGGAGTACTCTCTCTCTCTCTCAAATAAATCATATTTTTTAAAAACAGCATATTTGCATATAGCATGTGTCCATCCTCTGCTGTACTTTAAGTCATCTTTAGAGTACTTACAATATCCAATACCATGGCCGGCGCCGCGGCTCACTAGGCTAATCCTCCACCTTGCGGCGCTGGCACACCGGGTTCTAGTCCCTGTCGGGGCGCCGGATTCTGTCCTGGTTGCCCCTCTTCCAGGCCAGCTCTCTGCTGTGGCCAGGGAGTGCAGTGGAGGATGGCCCAGGTGCTTGGGCCCTGCACCCCATGGGAGACCAGGAGAAGTACCTGGCTCCTGGCTTCGGATCAGCGCGGTGCGCCGGCCGCAGCGTGCCAGCCGCGGCGGCCATTGGAGGGTGAACCAACGGCAAGGAAGACCTTTCTGTCTCTCTCTCTCTCTCTCACTGTCCACTCTGCCTGTCAAAAAAAAATATCCAATACCATGACGTTACATAAATAACTGTTGTCCTGAATTGTTTAGGGAAAAATGATGAGAAATAAAATTCTGTACATGTTCAGTGCAGAGGTACGTTTTTAAAAATACGTCAGTCATAGTTGGTTGAATCCACAAGATGTGGATCCCGGGGATGTGGCAGGCCAGCTGTGCAGTGAAATGTTGACAGTCAGGGAGTTGGGGTGGTGGGATACGGGGCTCATCGCACTGTTTTCTTACATTTCAGCACATGCACAGTTAAACACGGGAGGGATACGCTGTCAGACGCCTCAGGTCCAGAGGCCACTGAGCTCAGAGCCCTGCGTCTCTCTTGACAGTCCTGCGGCTCGAGTCTGGCAGACTGGAAATAAGCTCCTGACCTGGGCTTCCTCCTCCCGCTCTGCTCTTGGTCTCTGGGCTGCTTAGCAAACCATTTCTGATTCACTCCTGAGTCTGGCTCTCTCCCCTGCCAGATCACCCTCTCCAGCCACCCCTGTTTTGGCAGAGGCCCTAATGGAAGATCGATGTTCTGACGACTGGCACCACCACACAGAGCCTCCACCTGCCTGGGCCAGAGGGCCCAGAGCTCTGCTCCCCGCCATGCCTGGCTCCTCTGTGTCCACGATGAGAGTGTGTGCAGCCATCATGGCTTGCAGTCACAGTCTCCCGGCCCAAGGGTGGAGGGTGGAGGACCGAGGGTGGAGGACCGAGGGTGGAGGGTGGAGCTCCACTCAGCCAGAACTGGCCACAGGGAAAGCTTGCCCGAATGCGCAGGCCGCTAGCTGCTCCTCACCGTCCAGGTCCAATTAGCTCAGACTAATTAGCCGTCCAGCTATGGTTTGGAGGCTGCTGCCAGCCTGCGTCAGAGGCTGTGCCCTCCTGGGGGGAGAGGCAGGGCTAAGTGGAGAGTCAGCTCTGGACACGCTGTCTCTGGCCTACCGGCTGTGCGATCATTGTGAAGGGGTGGTGTAGACACCCCACAGGCTAGGAGGGGTTTGGCTTTCAGCACAGCTGAGTGGAGAAGAGAGGAAGGAGGGTCAGAGGATGGGGACGGGAGCCATCTCAGGTGTGTGCGGCCTAGGCGGACAGCGGGCTCCGCCTGTCCACTGCCAGGCGGAAATGCGGAAGCCAGGTGAGGAGGCCCAGGGGTGTTGCAGGGTCACTGGGTGCCCAGCAGTGTCCCCCAATTCCTCTTTTCATGACTAGGGCAAGATTCTCCAAGTTGTCACCCATCTGGAAGGAAGGTACGGCTCACTGGGGAGCGGGCAGATGGAGGGGGAGCCATGGGAAACAGCTGGGATTCCCCTAGGGTTCCAGAGCGTCATGTCACCCCAGTATTACCCCCAGTGTACCCCCAACTTCACACTCCACCCCACAGAGGCCATACAATTCTCCCAGGTCCCTTACCCAGCATCCTACAGCAGTTCATGCATCAGGGGGAGCCCAGAGCAACCCCGCCCCCTCCCCACAGTCTCCCGCCCCGGGACTTACGACCCCAGCACTTCCATGAAGATGAAGGTTTTGCGGATGTTGGTGGTTTGTTTCTTCCAGGAACTGCAGTCCTCTTCCTCCTTTCTCCCCATGGCCTCCAGAGTTGAACCTTCAGGGGGTGCTTGGTGAGGGGTAGAGAAGAAAAGATCTGCTCAGCTGAGTAAGACGAGAGCAAACAGGAGAGAGGACCTAGAATATTCTCATCTTTTATGCTATGGCCAGAAGGCTGGGTTAGAAGCAAAATCTGGATAGCTGTCAAAAACAAGAGTAGTCTTCCTAGTGGCTTTTGGGAATTACACTGGATTTTATTGAATGCCTCCTATGTGAACACGTGCTTGCTACATGCTCAAGGAGTTTGTCCAGTAGTGGAATCTCTGTGTTGTAGGACATGCATTTGTTAAGGGCAATGGTGAGGACGTGGATTGATTAAAAATATTTATTTAGGAGGCAGACACACACAGAATGGGAGAGAGAGAGAGAGAGAGAGAGCAAGCATATGCTCTGATCCACTGGTTCCGTCCCCAAATGCCTACAACAGCGGTGGCCAAAGCTGGGAGCTGGGAAGCCAGTCCACATGGACACAGGACGGCAGTGACCCAGTTATTTTAGCCGTCTCTGCTGTCTCCCAGGATCTGCATTAGAAGGAGACTCTATTGCTAGGAACTAAACCCAAGCACTCCACGGTGGGGCGTGGGCATCTTAACTGTTAGACAAAATCCCCACCCCACATGTATGGGTTAACACGGGGCTGTCCACCGTGAGGGATCAGAGCTGAGTGATGGCATTTCCTGTTACACAAATGATGGCCCAGGTGTTCGGACTGCAGAGTTAGCCTGGCTCCTTCCCATCATCACAACTCTGCCACCTCCCCCGACCACTGCTGCTCCTACTCTCCCCTGCCTGGTCGATGTTAAATGAGTGATTGTCAGATAAATGAGCATGCTTTGGCTGTGTAATTCCCATATCATTGAGCACAGTTATTCAATAATATCTAATTTGAATCATGTCCTAACTTTATATCAGAGTCCCGGAGTTACCTCATTCACTCAACAGCTGACCTGCATTGGTTTAGCTCTGATGATGTGTCGGGTGCTAAATGTGAACCTGTGGCTTACATCCCGGATGGCCGACTTCCTGAGAGGCAGGCAATGACCAAGTGCATTGGCACCTACATGGTTACGAGGCGTGGGGGGCACCTGGGGGTGTCGTAGAGGCAGGGGGGAGGGCTTCCGCGGATAAGGGCCTGTTGAAGTGGACACTGGAAGTCTGTGAAGGGACTGATCAAGCAAAGAGCACGTGAAGGGGCCTCTCGGCAGAAGGCACAAGACCTCAAAGCCTGAAGGGAGGCATGAGCTGAGGGGACAGCGTGGCTGGGGCCGAGGGGCTCCCCAGGGCCTGGGCTGGTGAGTAGGTGGGGACAGGCCATTCAGGGCTTAATAGATTTTGTTAACCATACTAGGATTTCTTTGAAGTGAGTCGGGAAGACAGGGAGGTTTTTTTTTTGGACAGGCAGAGTGGATAGTGAGAGAGAGAGAGAAAGGTCTTCCTTTGCCGTTGGTTCACCCTCCAATGGCCGCCGCAGCAGGCGCACCGCGCTGATCCGAAGGCAGGAGCCAGGTACTTCTCCTGGTCTCCCATGGGGTGCAGGGCCCAAGCACTTGGGCCATCCTCCACTGCACTCCCGGGCCACAGCAGAGAGCTGGCCTGGAAGAGGGGCAACCGGGACAGAATCTGGCGCCCTGACCGGGACTAGAACCCGGTGTGCTGGCGCCGCAAGGCGGAGGATTAGCCTAGTGAGCCACGGCGCCGGCCGGGAGGTTTCTTTAGCAGGGGAGTTAAGTTACACCTTTCCTGCTTGAAAGAGCTCCCTTCGGCTGATCCGAGACGGGAGTGCAGAATGCAAGAGCTGCTGCATGGAAAATTGGGACGAAGTCCAGGAGGGCGATGACGGTGGCTTGGCCCACAGTGGCAGCAGAGAGAATGAGGGACCTGGGATGTGACCTGGGAGTCCAGTCATCTACGGTCTCTGCTGCTGTGCTGTGTGTTGGGCAGGAATCCAGACGCTCCTGCATCTCTGGCAGGTGCATCTGGGGGTGGGAGGAGGGTGCCCTTGGGGAGGTGGCGAAGGCGAGAGAGAAATGTGTGCCTGGAGTGTGGTGAGGTGGAGTGGAGGGATCATTGCTCCTTCTACCCCTAGCACAGCTGCAGCTGGATGGCAGGGCTGCTGGGAGTAGTGGCGGCAGCACCACTTCTGCCAACACCTTCCTCCCCATTCGCCTTGAACCTGACAGTGAAGTAGGAAAATGCTCCTCTTAGGCGATGCCCCTCTTCCCCCACTTTTAAAAACTGCCAAAGAATTCGTGAGATCTTCTGGTAGCCTCAGAACCAAAAGAAAGCACGTGCCCCCACAATTTACTATTAGGGGAAGAGCATAGGTTTGGAGGTGAACCTGGGTTCAAATCCTGCCTCTTCCAATTACTAGTCACGTGGCCTTGGGCAAGGTACTTCCTTTTCTCGTCCGTTTCCCCACCTGTAAAATGGGGACCAACCTCTTACAACGTGGTGAAGGCTAAGCCAAGGAGTGCCCGTGGGACCGCTGCCTCACACACGGTGGACAGTGCTAGCAGAGACGGCTTTGAAGACGTTTATGTGTGTGTTTCATTCCTGCTCATCCGCGTCTGGAGGACCCACATCAGACAATGGGTTCTGCAGTCCAGAGGAAACCACGTGTGCCGTGAAGGCACAACCATGGGACTTGGAGACCCTGGGAGTGAGAATGCTGAGATGTAAGTGAGGTCCCTAACAGAGAGGAAGACGAGGTAGAAAGATGGACGCCATCTGTAGAGTGGATCTGCGAAGGGGAGGGGGACACAGAGGGTGTGGTCACTAGAAGAACACGTCTGCTTTCACCCCTGGGAGTAGACAACTCCCTAGGAATGGGGTGACTGGTGCCAGGAATGGCGGGCTTCCCAGGACCCTGCCACTGGGAGGCTGCCAGTCTAGCAGGAGCTCTGGCTGCAGCCGCCTCTAACGGGGCAGTGAGCAATCATGGGGAGGCCTGGGGGCAGGAGCTGAGTCCGGGACAGTGTTGCATGAGGGGCAGGGACCTCAGGAGTTCCCCCCACGGCCTGTGCAGGCTGCAGCCCCTTATACCAGTCCATGACAGCCAACTGCACAGCTCTCTCCAACTTCACGTTTCGTGGTGTCACGTGGGGAACTCAAAATCGACCAAGGAAAATGGCAAATGTACAGTTAGGAATTCATCCCCCCTGACCCCAGAACCAGTCATCAAACCTTTGCCAGCTCACCATTGCCTGCAGCCCTGGAACAGCCACAGGGCTGGTCAGCTGGGGTTGGGAAGAAGAGATGGTTACCACCTGCACTTCTCTTGGGATCAGGGCCATTAGTGGACTATTGAGCATGGTCCCCCCACCCCCATGATATGGTGAAGGCTAAACAAAAGAGTGCCATTGGTCCCCATGGGTCAGATGAGCTCAGCCACACTTCTGAGGTCACCAGCCAGCTGCTGCCTGGGGGCTCCAAGTTCCCTGCTAGCCTGAGGCCCTTTCTCCCACACCACACCAAGGTCAAGTGAGTACCTTACCACACAAGATGCCACCTTGAAACAGAGCAGCAGGAGGAAAGGCCATCTCAAGGCTGTTCTTTCCTGAAAGAGACGGGATCAGCCGAATGAAACTCTAAAGCGGAAGACATCCCAAGGCCACAGTGGCCAAGTTCAAAGTTTAAATCCCCCACGTTCCTTTTGGCCACCTAGTAGAGTGGGAGGTCAGGAGACTTGTACTGGAGCCGAAGAGGCCACATTTTCTTTGTGAATTTTAGCTCAGTGTGTACATCTGCAGCTTGGCTATCGAATCAGTGGTGCCTATTTATTGTTGCAAAAAAAAAAAAAAAAAAAGCATGTGAGAAATGTTCAGATTTCCTTTATTTTCCCCTGCCCATGGGCCATGTGGTGGCCTAAGTGTGTGTCTTCAGGCTCACTTGTTGGTTTGCTCCTTTTGGCACGGTGGCTGCAGTGCAGGATGGGCCGGTCCCTAACTTTCAGGGTAAGCACTGCAAGGTGCAAACAAATGTTCCTGGACTGGTTACAATGACCTTGGGAGGATGAAACAGGAGATTTCAAAACCTCTATTGAAAATGGAGTTGAAAGGAAAACTTTTTTGGTGCCCCCTGCCGAAAGTCAACATTCAGCCATAGTTTTTTTTTTTTTTCCCCTGTAATACACGTGTCCCACAAACTTTTGGGAGACTCCTCCTGACAGGTGGAGCTGGCATCCTGAAACAAGGCATTCCAATCAGGGCATCTCTGTAGGCAGCTGCCATTCTGCAGATTCCACCTAGCAGCTTCCATCTAACAGGGCGCGTGGCATCTGGGATGCAGGAACTCCCACCCCCCAGGCAGCCAAGAGGGAAACGAGGAAGTTTGCCTTAGAGCTTGTCCCTACAGTCTATCACTCTCGTCGGGGCTTCAAGAGTATCGCTGAGCTAAGTCTCCAAGACACCAGAACTGCTCCTTGCTGGGCGGACCCCTCGCAGCCGGGGAGTCCCCAGGGACGCAGAGGATGCGGGCAAAGGAGCAAAACCCACAGTCAGCTGTGTGTGCCCCTCTTGGTGCCTCTCCTCCCTGCCCGGGGCACGAGGGCTGTGCTGGCTGCTTTTGCAGGCCAGGAGCCAATCCTGAGCAGGCTCCCCGGCTCAGGGCTGGACCGGCCGGCCGCTCACCACTGCCCCTCCTGGAGCCCTGGGGAATGACCGCCTGCTCCCCAGGAGGCTCTGCCACCTCATTAGCAGATCTGTACTCACTGTTCCTTCTTCTCCATCTCGCTTAAATAGCTTAAAAAACATAGTATTCTTAGCCCAGGCTGGGCTGTAAGAAAACATCTTTCCCGCCCACCCCTCCTCCCATACACCGAAGCCTAGCAATTCAGTTCCATATTCAGTGCCATGTGGCAAACTCAGGGGCCCGGATCCGGAACCTCCCACCTGAGCCCTTCCTTCCCACGCTAGGGGACCTCCCCCAGACCCCCAGGCCCTGTGCATGCTGCAGGTCTAACCTCGGCTTGGAAAGACCGCGGCTCCCCACCGTGCCCCCACCGCACACCCTCCGCTCTTAACTGCTGTCATCCCGGCCCTCCCTTCCGGAGGGAAAGGAATTCTGAGAAGCCCGAAGCCCCAGCATTGCGCTCATCTGCTTCTCCCGTGTACGCCTTGCCTTTCTCTCCCTTTCCCGCAACAAGTCCCACTGGGTTCCGAGCCCACGGGCAGCCGCTGTAGGCTTCTCTGAGACGTCACGTGGACAGCTCAGGGGACACCGCGGACGCTGGCAGCGTGGCTGGCTCGGGACCTCCACTCCTCAACAGCGCAAGACCCTCGAGAACATTCTGCCAAAAGGGCGCCTGGTAGAGCCCGTGACTTTATTCATGGCACCATGTTGGAGTTGCCAAGGTGATACTCCTCCACCGAACAAGCGTGTATTTGTATCCCCTGGATTCATACAGACATGTCTGTACTGTGAACTTGGCCTTGAAAGGAAGTGCTTATGATCGGGTTAGAAAGACCAAACGTAGGTGCATAAATAAACAACATCTGCTTAAAGGCCAGGGAGCAGGCTTACTCCTCTCTGAATCCCTAGTGCCTGGCACACACTGCAGGTCCAGTGAGGGAGGGAGGGGGGCCTGACTGGAGACTTGACCAAGGCAGGCTTTGTGCAGGGCTTGGACTCAAGGTGGATCCTGAAGGGTGGGAGGAGGTATTCGTCAGAGAGGAGACCTGAGCCGGGGAGCAGGAAGGGGGCGGTCCCCTCCCCAGAGTCCTCCCCAGGATGCCCTGCCTGTGGCACAGTGGCGGCAGGTGGCACCGGCCGGGTTTCCGTGCCCCTACTGCAGGGAGAGGAGATGCAGCCCCAGGGTTGGGGTCCGGGTCCAGGTCATGGTCAGCACAGCTTCTCTGGGATGCTCCAAGAGCCCAACCTTGCAGGAGAGTCAGCCCACCGTTCTCCCAAAGTTACTCCCTAGGGGGAGAGCCGGCCCTTTCTTTTGTAACTCCCATGTCAACCTGAAGGCACCCGTGGGAGGTCAGTGGAGAGCAGCTCCACCAGGACTGAGATCTGTCCATCTTGTTGTCTCCCTTGGGCCTTGCACGGCGCCTGGCCCCTCTTGGTGCCTGATCGCAGTCTGGGGTCAGTCTCCCGTCCTGCTGGGAGGGCTCTGCCTACAGGCCAGGCAGTGCAGCGCTGGGGTGGATGCCGCCCTGGAGTGCACTCCTCGGGCCTGGCAGTGGGGTCCGAGGCAAGAGCAGCACGCCTGGCTGTTGATGAGGTGCTGGTGAGAGACGCTGGGGCTCTGAGCCCAGGAGGCAGCGCCCTCCCCAGAGCCTTGCTCGCTCTCCTTGCAGGCTCCATCTGGTCCCTGGAGCAGCGCTGGTTCCAGAGAGGGCTCTCGGGCAGATGACATGCTTCTGCAGAGACCTCCTCCCGGCCGCCACACGCCCCCAAGGTGCCAGGTCACCTCATGACCTCAAGCCGCCTGGACCCTCTGCCTGGACCCAGGCTGCTGACCCCCTGCCCCACATGGCCTCCCCACCAAAAGCTCCCTGAGTTGCAGTTAGGACCCTGCTCTGAGGGCCTTGCACAATGGGGCAGCTGGGCTCAGAGCCGCAGAGCGTTGCCCTCCTCCTAGGATGTGCTAGAGTCCTGGGAAAACTTCGCACCGGAATGCAGAGGCCTCCCATCCAGCCTGCTCCGATGCCTGTGCAATGCAGGAATGCCACACCACGCTCTTCCTACACGGGGCCTGAGCAAACCAGAGGAGGCGCGGACAGGGAAGGAGAGGGTCTTGAGTAGCTCTGCCTACAGCAGGTGTCACCCCACTTTTGCTGGGGCTCTCACTTGGGCTCCCAGGCAAGGAGGCATGAATCACTCTGGGGCAGAGTGAGCAAGCCCCAGCCCTTCCAGAGCCTGGCTTTTTTTTTTTTTTAACTGACCTTAGAGGAGGCAGCTCACAGGGACATTCACAGTCTCTGCTCTCAGAGTTTTCCATTCCCATGAGCCTTGGGGGCAAGGTCATCAGTTGGATCACCTCTAACAACAATGTGCTGTCTGCCTCCAGGCTGGGGCACAGGAATCATGGAACTACAGACACCACTTGGTTCCAAAGGGGTCAAAGGTGATACGAAAGGGCCAGGGCTAGAAATGTCCTTGCCCTGGTTCCATCTCCTGGACTCTGGTCCACGTTAGGTTCTCCACCATTCTCCGGAATGAGACGTAAAAGAACCCAGGCTCTGGCTCCGATCTCGGCTTGGTGCCAAGGAGCTGGGCAGCCCCGGGCAAATGGCTGTACATCTCTGAGTGTCCATCTCTCTCTTTAGTGAAAGCAGGAGACTGGACCGGACTGTGGATTCCTGAAGTTTGCTTCCAGAGTGAGCCCCGGTAGACTCTCTGTGAGGAAAGTGCATTTGCTGCTCATGCTGGCCATCGTCTGGGAGACCGGTGATCCACATTAGCTACAAGAGCTGCTGAGCACTGTGGAAGACAACTGCTTAATGCCTTTCAACCTGGCATTGCCCAAATCCAGTGGATAGTGAAACTCCTCCTGTATCACACAGTAACAGCCCAGGAGCCTGGGGTTGCGCGGGGCGTACTTTGGAAAATGTGAACCAGGCCACCCCCAAGGCTGTGAGTCTGTATTTTTTTGGTGGAACATACATAATTTCTGGCAGTCTTCTGCCAGCACTCAGAGTGCTGCCCCCAGCTCGCAGTGCCACGGGCTCAGGGCTGGGTCTGTGCTGCTGTCAGAACTCATTTGCAGTTCATGGGCTGCAACCCAAGGGGCTCGTCAGCTTGCCAGAGCCCAGCCCCTGAACTGTACAGGCCCCTGGAGACTCCCGACCACAGACAAACCCCAAAGACCAACCATTCCTTCCCCCAGGCCTCTGCGGATCCAGAGGTCAGCTCTGTGGTCAGTTCCTGTTCATGAAATAATCGAAGGAAAAGGACTCCCAATTGTTGCCACCAGTTAATTCTAGGAGCAAACCCACAGTTAAGTCCAACCAAGTCACTCCTGCTGCGGTGGCCAGCCAGAGTCCACGTGCTCCTTAAGGGTTATTGTCAGCTTAAAGAGACAAAGAACATTGCCCAGGGATTCATCTGGGCATGGCTGAGAGAGCAACACGTGGGGGTCTTTGGGGAGGGCAGGCTGTGCTACTTCTCTTTACAGGCCCTCCTGTGCAGAGGGGCCTCAGCTTTCTGACCTGCTAAATGGGAGTCATGATCCCCGTTCCATTTCTCAGCAGGTGTAATGTGCCAGTGGACAAGAGAGCTTTTATGGGATCACTAAAGTGCCAGCAGCAGGCCCGCGTTACGGGCACGTAAATTAAAGAGCAAGCGCTGGAAAAAGAGAAACGAATAACGATTCGAGACGGGGACCGGCTGCTGCCTGGGCTGTCCCCGGCTCCCTCTGGCCTGTCACATCTGAGCGTCTCCTCTCACTGGGCTTCCGGCGTCTTGAACCATGCATTACTTTTCATACGGCATGGCCCTGAATACAGCCAACACTTTTATATGGGATTCAAGCAGGCAAACAGGGACCCCTCACAACCCTGGAGGGACGCGTTTGCTTCCTCACAGGCGGACCACGTGCCGGTCTCCGTGGGGGTACCTTCTAGGGAGTTCTTACGGCTAATGCTGCCTTGAAGTCTAACACTCCAGCAAGCGGTGCCTCCTGCATGCAGGTGTGGGCCAATTAGTGTGAACCCCACCCCAGCCAGGCACTGCGTGTGGCTCCCGGAAGGGGAGAGGACGGACAGAGACCGGGCTGGGGGAGTGCAGGAGGAAGGACAGCAGAGCTCAGGACCAGGACAGCTGTGTCAAGACACCCTGAGGACACGGGTCTGACAGCCCTGAAGCCCCCTGCCCCCACCCCACCAGCTTGCTTTCCTGCTGGCAGCCGGCCACTCAGCCCCAGCCCCTTGCCATTGACCATGGCGGCGCGCCTGCGGTTGTAGCGCCAGGCACGCAGGCTGTTTGCAGACTCGGCCGCTCCCCCTCTCATTCATGCTGCAGCTCATTCACTCCGCGGGCTCTGGCAGGCTGCGGCTGGGCGCACACTCGCACATACTCCGTGTGGCAATTTATTTCTGGGTGTATGTGCGTGTGTGTGTGTGTGCGCGCGCGTGAGTGTGGGCAGAGGGAGCGGGGGAGGTGTTCTCCTCTTAGAGGGGGCTGTTTTCCACTTCCAGCCGGAATTTCAGAGTATTTAGTAGTGCCGTGGCCTCCGCACCTGGCAGGGGCACCGTGCAGGCACGTGGCATGCATGATCATGTTCAATGCCTCACTGCCACCTTTCAAGGTAACCTCATTTCTAATGAAGGTGCTGGTGGGTAGCAATAAGTGTTCAGCAAACGCGCCAATTCAAAGAGATAGTAAATGATGGGGCCGGGAGGCCGCTCACCTCCACCTTCCTCCTTAGGCTGCTGTCATGCGAACCCCTCGGGAAGACCTGGGAAAGGCTGAGTGCCCCCCGCCACACACATACACACACTCCCGGCTCCACCTCAGCCTCTCCTGGCTCCAGCTGTTCAGTCTTTCTCACCCAAATCTCAGCCTTCTTCCCCAAAGTTCCGCCCCCGCCTCTCAAAGGATAACTCTTAACGCATGCACACGTGCACACGTGCACACACAGACACACTTCACGGCGACCTGCCAATTCAACCCCTTATCACAAGATGGGGACTCAGATGCTACCACCATCAAATGGGTAGCCCCAGTCATCAGCTTTGCAACTTGGCAACTGAGCAAGCTCTCTGAGCCTCAGTGGTCTCGCACCCCCGCCCACCTGCCTGGATGGTCCTCCAGGTTGATTAATCAAGAGCAGACGGGAAGCTGTCGAGCGTGAGCCCTGTATCCGCTATTACTAAGCACTTTGTGTTCTGGCCTGTTTCTGATGTGGGTCTCATTTTTAGCCCTGGGTAAGCAGGGTCAGTAGGAAGAGACAGCTGGTTGTGTCTCTGGCCCCTCATCTGGAAGCGATGATCTCCTTACCCAAGACCGAACCAGCTGGCCTCTCTTGACCCTGCTCAGACATTTCCTCATGATCAATTTCTCTGGCTCCAGAGTAAAAGGCTGGCCAGCCACGCACTGCAGCCAGATCAGCGCCAGCCCTGGCAGCTGCCTCTGCCTCTGGGAGCTGCAGGGTTAATGTTTGTGCGTCAAAGTTACGTGGAGAGAAGGGGCCACGGTGTGGATGGGGGTGGAAGTGGAGGTGGTGGTGAGTCCAGACCTCCTTGCAAGCATCTTTTCCTGCGAACTGAACCAGGGAAGTTGGAAGGCAGGAGGGAGATAGACGCGCCCCTGGGGAAGGTGAAGGAGCTGTCTTGTGACTGACAGCAGTAGTGCACCCGCCAGTGTTGTGCATCCAGGACAGCACGGCCAGGAGGGCCCCAGGCAGATCCTCCTCCCAGGGCTTTGCAGAGCCTCGGGCTATTTACAAACCTTCCTTTTAGCCTGTGGAGTCTCCAGCCTCTCCCAGCAGGAGACGGGCAGAGCGGGAATCTCCCCACTAGTCTGGTGGATCAGAGAGGTTAAGAGCTGAAGGTTGAGCAGGAAGGAGGGGAGCCGGAGAGCTGGAGGTCCTGACACCCCGCAGAGCCCGGGGGTTGTCCCGAATACTCAGGCATTGCAGGAGGGACTTGGGTGTCCTGCTCCCCTTCCCCTGCCCACAAGTGCAAAACAGTTCCCACTGGAGCCAGCCTAGGGTTGATGGTCACAGGGCTCCCCAGGAACGACCCCTCCAGCCAGACCCCCACGCAGACGTATTTTCCAAAGCTGCTGCAACTTACCCTTGACACCAGCGAGTCGGAGCCCACTGGAACTGGGGCTGAAATCAATGCCCAAGTTGCTCCCCAAAGTGGCTCCCCAAATTCACTCCCCAGGTGCCGCGCCTCCCACTCAGCAAGGAGCCCCCTCCCCAGTGCCCAGAAAGAAGCGGGTTCTCTTACCGGAGGAGGTCGCGGGGACTCCCGAAGAATCCTGCTCTGGGCTCCGACACCCCAGCTCCTACAGGTCTGTAAGGATTAGCTGCTCCAGTGCTTAACAATAAACCCAATTAAAGGGGAGGAATGCAGGGGTTTTCTTTCCCAGGACCGTAACCAGGCAGCCTTAAAGGGGAGTGAAAGTAGCTAGGAGGGCTGGCATCTCTCCTTCCTCTCCTGTACTCTGCTCTCCCTCCCTCCAGAGAGCAGTATCCAATCTGATCAGGAAAAACGCCATGCCAAAGGTCCCTTGTGTGCATGCCTGGTGTGTGTGTGTGTGTGTGTGTGTGTGTGTAATTGTGTTTGCGTTGATGTGTGTGATAGAAAGACGGAGAGAGGAGGAATGCAGAAGGAAAAACAGAACATCAAATTATAGTTTTCCACTGGCCTGAATGGGTGGTAACAGAGAATCAGAGCAGCTTTCTAGGATGGTCTGCCTCAGTTTCCCTTTTAACCACTCAGTTGCTGGAGTCGGGTCTAAACCACACCCTACTACCAGAGCCACAGGATATCTACGTTGGCTGCCATGGAGAGACTGAATGAAGACCCTCCGTGTCCACCCCACCGGTCGTCTCTTACAGGATGGGAGAGAAGTCCGCAGATGCCCACCCAGGGCCTGTAGGTTGAGCGTTGGACTCTCTGCCTTCTGCTCCCAGCTTGTTCCTTCTCGACTCTACCCTTAACGTTAACATCTGCTCACAGGGTCAACCCATCTGGGTGATTTTCCTTGACCTCAACATCTAAATGGCCTCTTTCAGCCATCAACAAGCCTGGGCAGGTTGGAGCTTCCTGCACCCCACCTTCCTCCTGGGTTTCCCAGCCAGGTTGCCGGGCTGCCACCTTCCCCACCACCCAGGTTAGAAACCCCTAACTGTGTTTTCTTCGTCTGTGCCATCTCCTCCATTGGATTCCACATCCGGTCAGCTGTTGCACAGTCACTAGTTCCTTTGAACTAGCTTTTAGATTGTGTCGTGTGTGTGTGTGTGTGTGTGTGTGCATAATAAAAACCTCGCTCATACGGGTCAGCAATAAGAACCACACTAAAAGGCCTGCATTGAGTTCTATCTATTCCACCCCCTCATTTGCCCTTGGCCCCTGGCCTTGCCATCTATAGGTGGCCGCTTTTATTAGCCTCCTGTCTATGAGATTTCTTTGTGTGGATGAAAACAAATATCTACTTACCTACCTGTCTGTCACCCGTCTATTCCACTTTCTTACACAAAAGGCATAAAGTAAATGCTCCTGTTCTTGTATTTCCATCTCTACAGCCTTATTCCAGACCTCCTCCTCTCTCCCAGGCACTGTTGGTGTGGGAGGGGCTCCAACTGGTCCCTGGGTTGGATGGTATTGTAGGGTCCTGAAAAGTGGCTCCGGAAGAGACTTCTAGATGGAACACTGGACTCTTTTGTTGACTGGATGTGTGGCCTTGGGCAAGTGGCTTAGCCTTTCTGTGCCTCAGTTTTCTCATCTGTGAAATGGGATGATTCTGCACTCATGTCATACACTAGCAGAGTGAACCGAGACGGAGTGAGGTTGATCAAAGCCACGACTGGCACGCGGAAAGCACCACACCTGTGAGCTATGGCAACCTCTGCTATGCTCCGAGTCTTTGTGTTTCCACCCCAATTCACATGTTGATGGCATGAGGAGGTGGAGTCTTTGGAGAGCGACCCGGTCATGAGGGCAGGGCCATCGTGGATGGGGTTGGCACCAGAGGGCCGCCGGGTCCCTCCACCGGGGAGGACACAGAGAGGACCAGGCACCTTCTATGAAGCAGAGTGGGCTCTCACCAGGTGCTGATCTCCAGGAGCCTGGATCATGGACTTCCCAGGCCCTGAACCGGGAGAAATCTACTCCTGCGGTTCCTGAGTCGGCCAGTCGATTGTGTCTTGTTGCATCAGCCCATTCAGCCAAGCTGCTCTCCAATCCAGCTCCCATTCTTGCTGGAAGTGCCTCAGTGAAGCACTTTGCTTCTACTTCGAAAACCTCCATTGCCTACAGAATAAAATGCAAACACGTTAGCCCATCACCAAAGGCCTTCCAGGGCTTGGTACAAAACAACTCCCCCTTCCCTTCCTCTCTCTTCCTGCCCATCTGACACTCCAGCCATGCCACATGAGACCTTGATTTCTTTTTTCTTTTTTAAAGATTTCTCTTATTCACTTAAAAAGCAGAGCTACAGAGAGAGAGGGAGAGACAGACACAGAGAGCCCTTCCATCCACGGGTTCACGCCCTAAATGGCCAAAACAGCTGGGCTAGGCCAGGCCGAAGCCAGGAGCCAGGAACTTCTTCCTAGTCTCCCACGTGGGTGCAGGGGCCTAAACACTTGGGCCATCCTCCACTGCTTTCCCAAGCACATTAGCAGGAAACTGGATCAGAAGTGGAGCAGACAGGATCCCAATTGGCACTCATATGGAATGCCAGCATGGTGGCAGCCCAACCTGCTGCATGTGCCACAATGCCAGTCCCGAGACCCCAATTTATTTTTTTAAAGATTTTTTATTTATTTATTTGACAGGCAGAGTTACAGAGAGAGAGAGAAAGAGAGAGAGAGAGAGATCTTCCTTCCGTTGGTTCACTCCCCAGATGGCCTCAACGGACGGAGCTGCACTGATCTGAAGCCAGGAGCCTGGTGCCTCCTCCTGGTCTCCCATGCGGATGCAGGGCCCAAGCACTTGGGCCATCCTCCACTGCCTTCCCGGGCCACAGCAGAGAGCTGGCCTGGAAGAGGAGCTACCGGGACTAGAACCTGGCGCCCATATGGGATGCCGGCACCGCAGGTGGAGGATTAACCAAGTGAGCCACGTGCCGGCCCTGAGACCCCGATTTCTAACGTGCCACTTACTCTAAAGCTTGTGGCTGTTGTTTGTCCCGATACAGTCCCGTCCTCTGCCTGTGGAATGCTACAGATTAGTAACATCCACACGGAGTGTCACCGCACCCGGGAGGCCTTCTGTGATCTGCCCCCTCTCTTAAAAGTTCATCACTCCTTCTTCTGGGTTGGTCCCCAAACTCTGCTCACAACTCTCCTTGTTCTTAAATCTTTTTTTTCTTTGAATTCTACCTTGTTTCCACTTTAATCTCCCTTCTAGAAGTGAGAGTTCTTTAAGGGCAAGGATTTCGCTTGTTTTCTGCCCCCTCCTTCCTCTAATTCCTGGCTCTGCTAATAGTTGTTGGGGCTGGTAGATTCATCAGCCCTAGCAGGCCTGCAAGGGTTGTTATAATGAAACATGGTGTGATCTGCTAGTGACTGGTGTACATAGTAATTAATACTTGCTATAGTTAATATTGATGATGATAATAATAGTAATAACATATTACTGTTATTGGCTCAATATCTCATTTTTTTTGCCCAGATTCTCTGGGTACAGCACCTGATGGCATTCTGGAGCTGGAGGAGTTATCATCGCTTGAGGCAGCTAGGTACTGCCCATGGACATCAACCCACACACTCTCCAAAGGGAGCCGAATTCGGCCTCTCTGAAGTCTTCCCCAGCACACACACACACACACACACACACTATTTAAATAATATTTACCAAGTGCTGACTGTGTGCTGAGTACTAAGGATATGAAACCAGACCCAGTCCGTATATCCATGGAATTTCTACTAAGTCTGTGAATCAGTTCTGTGCTTTGTAAGAGGCTCTGATAAAAGGCTTAACTGGGCAAAGATCCACCTGCTGCCCTCAGCCCTCCAGAATCCTCTTTCCTCCTTCTCTTTCCTCCCACTCCACCTGCATACCGCTGGCCCTGCTGAGTCCCCGAGCCAGGAAGGAACCCTCCTCCAGGGAAACAGAAACAGGTGTAGCAGGTGTCGGGCGCCAGAGAAGTCGGTGTCTCTCTGTCCTGATGTCAGAAGCCAGGTCTCCATGTGACTGTATCGCATGCCAATCATCAGAGGACCAGAGTGGGAGCAGAGCACCCATTGCTCCAGACCTGGCACAGCGGGTGTTCTGCAATAGTTCTCAACCTGCTCCCCAGGGGCAGCTAGGCCCGGTTGTGGGAGGAGTCAGTGGTGGGTGGATTAGGAAAAACACAGAAGTCGGAATACTCGAACATTCATGGTGGGAATGAAGGAGCCTTGCATTGTGGTGGGAGCCAAGACTGGACAGGTAGGGAGTGTCAGTAGCCTGTCTGGGGGCTTTGGACTTGGCTGGCGCTGTCAGTTCTTAAGCAAGGTTATTTAAGGGAAATCAAGGTGGGGTGGGTGAAGTTGGGAGGCATTTAAGGTGCAAAGTCAGCTGTGGCTTTTGTGGTCCCTGAGGCCTAGGAGGATGAGGGCTTGAACAAAGAGATAGCAGGGATGAAGAAAAAAGTGTGATCCAAAGCAGGTGCCAGTGTGGTCGGGGCATCCTCCTCGCGTCCGGATGACAGCTGAGTCTGAGCTCACCAACTGCCTGGTTCACAGGTGATCTTGGCAAAGGGATGAGCAGTCACGTGGAACTAGGGATCCACCTCCACTGCTCTCCCCTCCAAAGAAACAGCACAAGGCATCCTCTTACAGGAGACTAGCATGCGTTAAGGCCCCGGGGTGGAAAGGAGCTATGCCTATTGGAGACAGAGAGACGTGTGTTGTGACTGAGCAGGGAGAGTAGCCCCAAACGCATGGAGAGACAGGAGAAAGAGCAGATCATGCAAAATCGTGAGGTAGGATAGGAAGAATGAGAGGGAGGAGGGGCCCCCAGAGAAGAGGTCGCACTTGTTTTGTAGCATGATTCTAATTTAGGCTGGGTATTAGAGACTGGTGTGTGGTTCTAATCAAGCAATGGGGCAGGGAAGAGGAGATGGGAAGTTCTAGGCCAGTAGACAGACTGTATTGCACCAGCATGGGGTAATGCAAGTCTTGTTACCTTAGCATTTATTTGCTTATTAAAATAAGGCACTGGATGGCTAGTGTTTCCAAGTGTCAGCATTTTACGCTGCTCTGTCCCGGGCCACACTGTTGCCGCAGCCCTCCTTGTGCGTCTCTGTGCATTTGAGTCGGACCTGTAAGAAGTCTCCTGCCCTGCATGCACAGGCTCTCTGTGTCCTCACAGACACCTGGCACTTGCTTTGCTACGGTTGACTCTGGTCTGGTCCGGTCAGGCTGGCCTTGGACGACAAGCTCTCTGAGGGTAGGAACCATGCCCTCCCCGCCCCCAACCTCGATAGTCTCTTCTGGCACACAGCCTGGGCCACAAAGACCTGAGAAACTGGAGGTCTGATAAGAGCCGGGGAGGAGAGTTTTCTGGAGTGTCCTGAGTTGGACACCATGAGCCCCGGAGGGGACTGGAGTACGGTGCATAGAGCATGGGCTGTCCCTGTAGACACACCCAATGCAGGAGAATGTTCAAAAGAGCCCGTGTCTTCTGTTAGGTTTTGCATCTTCCAATTTCTTGAGAA